AGTGAGCTTAACCTTCGACTAGATTTGTAGATATGTATGCATGTACCAGATTTATCTAATAAGAAAATATTTTTCAGATACAAAAGACAGCGCCGAAAATTCAGAAAAAAAATGGAAAATAAAAGATGCGATGTCGCGAAAGAGTGCAACAAGTTCGCAAAGTGGTTCCGACTCCCAGAGCAATAATACCGATATCGAAACACAAAGTGAAGGCGACCATAAGGATGACAACCAGACTGTTGATAATGACCAGACAGTAAATTTGGATGAGAACATCTCGTTTTTTTTCAGTTCCTGAAAAATCAAAAAACGATAAAAATCCACTGCTTGTAAGAAGTTCTCTAAAGAAATACAAGCGATCAAGACCGTCTGTGGAATGGGATAAAAGTGATGACATCGATTTATTTTTCTTTAGTATGTCTAAAACTGTTAAGAAGCTACCGTATTGCGAACAAGTGCAGCTCAAGAAGGAAATCAGCTGTTTAGTTTTTCAGGCAGAACTTAAAAGCATCCCAGCATAAAAAATGAATAATAACAGTCAATAGGATGTGATTGTCCTGGCATACTCGTATTAATAACATTTCATACAAAGAACATTTGACATAAATACATACATACATATGGATGTATTGAAGATACTTTCCTTTCCTGTTTGTAAGATAGCGGACATTAATTTCAATCATATAAAACAAAAAAATCCATATATGCAATTGAAACTTTGCAAAATTAAATAACAACGCGAGCATAAATACAAAGTGTTTTTATAATAGTTATGCAATAGCGTAGATACATACATACGAATTTTTTGACTAAGAACCGACTCGGTTCATGACAAAGGTGGAAATTTTAATTTTAATGTAAAACTACTCCCGATTGATTTCTAATGTATTTCGCATATTTATTTGAGTAGTTTTGTGTATGCTTATCACCAATGCAAAAAATACTATCAGGCATGTTCTGTACATCGCACGATTTGAAATAATTATGGTTATTTCTGATGAAAAGGATGAATATTTTATATAAAATCTATAAAAGACCCATCAGCAATGATAATATGTATGTCAACCCTTTAGAAATGCGGGATTTTAAATTTTCGTAGACGTCTCTCAGATCAGTGTTGGCAAAATGTTAATCTGATTAACAATTAAAAATTAACGATTCAAATGTTAATCGCGATTAAGGATAAAAATTAATTAATAATAATCATCTGTACGATTGATTAAATTTTTTAATCGCTAATCACACCAAATTGCTTAAATCGATAACAAAAACCGACTTAGCCATACGCAATTAACTGGCCTTGTGTGCACAGGACAATTCCAGCATAAATTAATTCATCATCAAACCCACTTAACCAAATTAAGGGTTAGTGATTAAAAATTATTATTTTTTAATCGCGGCTACAATAAAATGTTTAATCAGATTTAAATTAATCATGATTAATTGTAATCGGATTTAAATTAATCAAATTCACTAATCGATTAAAAAAATCAATCGATTAGTGCCGACACTGTCGCAGATACACGATAAGAGCCAAATTCAAAGTCATATCTCAAAAAATACTCGTTTACTTCCTCCGTGAAATTTGAAATTTGTCAAATAAGGACTTTTGCGTTGATGTTTAGGATATTTTGCATACATGCAGACATATGTATTGAAAATGTTAACCATTTTTGAAATATATTTAAGTTAGTTTTTTTTTCTTTTCGAATAGTTCGAGAAAACATATGTATGTACTTATCGCGGTAATGTTGCACTCAAAAAAATGTTTTAGATGAGAAAGTTCAATGAACTCTTGATAATATTTAACAGTGGGAAACATCCACTGTAAAGCATTTAAAACTTGATTTTTTTTTTTATAAATAAACGATATTGGTTAAATATGTATACATATACATAACATATATGTACATATCGATAGCTTAGAGAGTGAAAAGGTGCTAAGTCCACTTTTTATGAAAACTCATATTTTGATACAGGAGGCTAGATAAATTTAAAATGCATTGTTTCGAAAAGGATTGTTTTATTTTTACTCTTTATATTTCATAAAAAGAAAGTCCAAAAGAAGCACCGAAAATCCGATAAAACGAAAATAGTACGCAATCTTTTAATAAACAACGAATCCATCTGATTTGTATGGAGTTTTTCTTTTCTTTGAACAGGCAAAACGTTGTATTCAAAGGTTTGCTAAATACTTTGTAAAGTTTTTAAACGGGACTTAGCAGCTTTTCACTCTAAGCTAGCGATATGTAAATTATTCGTCATATTTTTCAACATTATTTTGCATAAAACCCAATTTACAGTCATGAGTAAGTATAGTATCTACATACATACATATATTTTCTAAAATTGCTGGCGCCCATTACAGTCTAGAGGTCACCTTTACCTTTAAAATTTTACAAGTCTAAGAAAGCTGCAAGTAAGGCAATTATATGTTATTTTACCTTAGTACCACACCTTATGTTGTCAATTTTGTTCATCGTCTTTTTTATTGTTATTGTATGTTATCTAAAGTAACACACGAGTATCCTGAGCAAAAAAAAAAACCAACATGCCCAAGTGTGAATGGCGTGCCAATTTTCAATTAGCAAGCTCAAAAAGACATAAATAGTTTTGAAAAACTGATAATTTTAAAAACACATCAGTTTCCAATTATATTAATGAAAATGAATTCTAAAGCAAATTAAACATACATACATATCGCCACCTTAATTCACAAAGGCCCTAACCAACAAACTTTTAATTTTACATTAGAAGCAAAAAACATAAATTGAGTATCAAAAACAGGTGGGGCTTTTTAAAGATTGTGACATGTAACTCCGTTGTTTTTGGTACTAACACTTAAAAAAAAAAAAACGAAACGAATGAAAAAAATGTTGCCTAGGGCCTTTGTGAATTAAGGTACATGTATATATGTATACATATTTATTGGTATAGTTCAACTGATTTATGTACATATATGTATATATATAGGTAATTACATGTATTTAACTACTTATTGCTCGTATGCTGGAAGAACAGCATATTCTAAAAACTAGCTTACAGAAGTGGTATGCCTTGGTATTTAGGTGCAAATATTCCATAGTCCGAAATCGTTGCTTAAAAAATTTTGTACAAATGAATAGTTTTTGATGTAATTTAATTTAATTTGTATGTACAAAGATTTCATACATACTTTATGTAAAAAATAAAAGACTGTTTTCGCATAGAGCATAAACCGAGAATTTCAGAAAATTAACAGAAGAAAATTTAATTCACAAAGGCCCTAACCACTAACCAACATCGCAAAAACGGCTAAACACCTTCACTAAAAATTGTAAAGTGTTAGTACCAAAATTTTTCTTTTTATAATCTTATTTGCTTCTTGTGTGCCCCATGTGTTACACATTTATTACTAATTTTACTAAATTATTAATGTAATTACCTAAAAAAAAATTTAACAGAAAAATTCAATTATAAAACGAATATTCAGCAAATTTTCAGCCTGCAACTTCTTTAAACACACATGTTGCCAGATGTTGCTGGCACAACACATATGTATCTGTTGCTAAACATTTATTTCTGTGTTTCTACCCCGGAATTTAACAAAATCTTTGCGTTTCAAATGCCTCTGCCCCCTACTAGAAACATTTCAGAAAATAAAAATTCTATACCACAATGATTTCCACTGAGTCGTTTGCACCATGATTCAATAATACAAGGTTCGATAAACTGACAGTTGTCTCTCTCGCACCGCTCCCTTAGCAGTGGCACCGTGTTGCTTCTTTGCAAATGTACATGGAAACGATGTAGCTTTGGCGTGAAATAAAAGTATAAGCTTTTGTGCAATATGTTTATTTGTATATGCATATGAAGCATATCTAACTGATGAAAACATAAGCATTGGATGTTTACATCAATCTCATAGTAGTCTTATTTTAATTTTGAGTCATTTTGCAGTTTTTATACGGCTAAATAGCAGATAAATTACGTAATACACGTGGATATATCAACATTACGTTCAACATTTCGTTTAAAATGCCAGATTTCCTGCAAATACATTAGAATTTACAAAAGGAATTTCACTACTAATTGCCTACTTTGCGTACTTTTCTACTACCATTTTCGCAACAAGGGATTGCATTCTGCCCTTTCTTTGCCCTTCGTAAATGCAACCTTTTGTAAGGGAGTGTCAAACCGCAGCTGTCAATAATTATCTAACCTTGTATTATTGAATCATGTATTTGGCCAAGGACTGTCACTCCAGCAACACTCCCCAAATATTAGGTTTGTTCGTCGAGCAAAAAATTTGTACGAATTTGTACGAATTATCACGATTTTTGCCCAAATCGCGTTCGTGCAGACCAAAAAATTATCCAACACTCAAAAATTGTGAGAGCAAAGTGACAGTTCTCTTGGAGAGAAGTTGCAAATTCTTGCTGGAAAAAATTTTGCCAGCAAGAATTTGCAAACACGAAAAACATGTGGTTGTGGCGCATGGTTGCATTTTTGTCTACAATAATTTGAATAAATTAGTTCGTTAAATTTAAAAATTTATAAACACGAGCGATTTTTTTATGAAAAAAGGAAGTAAATAATTGTTGATATAATTAATTTAGTTAATTCCAATGATTTGAACTTAATTCGGCTGAAAAAAATGGTATTCGCAATCGGAATGCAGTTGCAACCAGAGTCGATTTAAGAAACCCGACAGCTAGTACGATGAAGAAATTGAAATGTATGTTAAAGAAAGTCAGAACAACAAGAAATATACATGTATATCCTGTTTTTGGCCATCCGAAAGAATTTTAAAAATTCTATAAAAATTTTTTATGTTTGAAATGCAACCGTGGACGCCAGCTGGCAGCGAAACTTGCAAATTCCTGCAAATTTGCGTTCGTGCAGAAATTTGCAAGTTTCTCAACATGAGAGAGAATTTGAGAGAATTTTTTCTTACTCTCTGATATTTTGAGTGTTGGATAATTCTTGCTGGATTTTCGACGAACAAACCTATTCTTTGGGGAATTTGTATGCTGTTACAACAACAACAACCACTGTCCCGCGCTCTGCAGCCGTTTTGCACCAACCAGTTTAGAGATACTTCTCAAATATGTAGTCCGGCAGTAGTGCGGTTGTCAGACTGTTTCTAAATTTTACTGTAGGGTAGTTTTACGATTTTGGCTATTGTACATATGTATGTGTGTATCAAGAGCAATCAAAGCTTTGTCAATTAGAATTAGATATATTAAATAGGATAAGGATTTTATTAAGTTAAGGAAGCAGTTTTCGCGTGACTTTCATTCGGCTCGATTCGAGTTTATTGCCCATTGTAAGCTGATAAACATCAATTGAACGAAATGGAGTAGGTACATTCATACATACATATATATGTATGTACATACTCATGTACCTCATTGCCCTCTGAGCACAAACACTAAGAACCGTGCAATGAAAAGGCAACACTTTTTGTAGAAACGAAAACGCTATTAAAATATTCGTCGGAAAGCATAAATATATCTTAAAGCTTCTGTTCAATTTTTTGATTAAAAAAAAGGTACTATATTAGGGTGGCCCACCCGTTTAACAACGGTTCATATCGTCGTTTAAAGTACAAAACCGCGTATCAAGAAAATGAAAACCTCGTATGTGAGGTTTCCAAAATTTTATACAAGAGGTTAAAACTTGTCTTATTTCAAAACGTTCTCTTTTTTATCCCTAATTATCTGTTCTTCTTATATATAAGTACCAATATTTTAGTATGAATGGATAA